TTCACTCTTCTAGTTAAACAGATCTTGTTCGCGCAAATGACCATTTCAAAAACAGCGACTTTACAATTTAATAAATAGGGTTTTGTCAAGCATATTTTGCTCTTTTTTAATGCAGGTGCAGTCGCAGTAATCTAAATATTTTCTCCGTACTGGCATTTATATTGTACCCACTAGCACTCAGCCTAGGTCTTTGGAAAAACCGGGGACTTATACTGCTGTAAGTCCGGATTGATGCAAGTCTTTGCCTTGCCCACGATTCCCACTTCATGAAATTTTATTTCTGCAAGATTTTCAGACATTTTATGGCCACTTGCACGCCAGTTAAGCAAACACTGCACACTGCATTGTTCATTTTTGCACTGTAAATCTTCCACAGGTAGCGCCCAGACTTTACAATCTGACGTTTTATACGCCTTTTTTCCTTTCTTAGTATTCACATTAATAATAAGTGGTTTTTGCATAAGGCTCTTAGTTTTATGACAATCTTCCGCATTATAGGCCTTTCTCTACTCTACTTAATAAGAGCACGTCTTACAGATCGCATTAGCAGCAAAATTGTTCAAGAGACGAATTGTTTCTGTTTGTGCGATAAATACAACACAACCAATCATTTTAAATTTTGTTCACTCATGATAGCAAAACCACTTTCCGCAGACTGGTTTGGCCATACTATCAAACCTTTCCAGACAGAAGGTGCGTATCAGGTGTAGGTCAAATGCACGGTTAAATCCCATGCACTGATGACGGGAGACTACGTCGACTACTGGCTGGTGCTTACATCTCCTGAAATTGGCTCCTCCTGCTTTTTTTTAAATCAAAATCGTTCCACTTAATTTTAACGCTGATAGTATACAGCCAAGATACAAGGAACTGAATTCGGGATTGACGGAAAATTTTGTTTGGTCCGATAACGCAGTTTTCTTGTAGGTCCAACTGGTCGCAAGCCAGTAGTAGCGCTTGATAACTAAGATATGAAGATAGATTCCCTCCTAACACAAAGTCATTGCTTTTCAGTACCTACAAGGAGTTAAATTTCAGTGAAAGATCATCCACATCGCATTGTTGGAACAGCAGGACAAATATGCTGCAACACCCAACACACCAATGATTTTGGACTTGCCATTTGGATAAGCAGTTTTGGTAGTTCTCTTTTATTCGAAATAGACCTAAGCCGAGGCCAAGGTGAAGTGTTGTGAGATCCTAACAACAATTTGCGGCGACTTAGACCGCCCTTCATCTCCTTTTGTCCAGGGTAGAAGCCTCTTGCACGGCAGTATGAACACGTATTTGACAGAATAGGGTTGATATCATGCTTCAAGATGGTATTTTGAAAGTGTGCCTTTCTGTTCTGTTTAAGCAGTGCATTGCTTGCAAATATTGTAGGTTATTTTGTGGCGGAGGGCATAAATGACAAGTAGTTCAATATAAGAGTCAGAGTAAATGTTCCTACAATTTGGCTTCAGCGAGGGGATTAGTAGCTCAGCACTTTGTTAATGTTGAAGCCTTGATCTTAAACGCTTTTATGGATCACACCTACACTTGAGCTTCGGAAAACGTGTGAATGTCTTTCTTCACAATCAAAGAAACAAGTACTTAGACTCAAAGAGGTAGGAATTCACTTAAATGCAGTAGTATTCAACTGGATGAACGCATGTTCCTTGTTTGACTAAGGGGGCCCACGCGTGGGCAAGATAAATTGGCGTGACGGTGCATCCTAAATTCGCAATAGATATGCTGATTCCCTAAGTCGGTGCTGAGGGTTCCGTAGACCATACAACTCGACTATTGCATTACGCACAACATATGAATCATCATCACTGAATGCGCTATGTCGTGCATGTAATCCGATTTCATAACCCTAAAGGCACTTGGTAATGTTTTCCTAGCATTTCCATTTTATCTCTGGAAGCTTTAATAGTATTCTAAAAAGCAAAATCTGTGTTGATTCTATAAGCATAAGCAGTGCCGAGTGATTGGATGTGATTCTAAAAGCAAAGTTAGAGAAAATTACGGAAGTTACCCGTGTCTCACGCATGGCAAGAATTCATAGACTCGCTCGCGGTTCAGTGGTTGATAGCTTAGAATGTGTTAAGCAATGAATGGCTCTTGGGAGAGGATGAGTGGAATAGTTGATGGGTGGATGGGTGGCTGGTACAAATGCAACTTGTGCGGTGTTCACTCACCTCGTGTGGAGCGGAAACAGCTGCCACAAACATGCTGCATGTATTCGGTATCTGCAGAGAGCATTACCAGTCTGCGTTTACTGCGCCAGCCAGAAGTTTTTGTCCCACAGTCGTGCATTAGTTTGCCACATTACCTCACAAGACCAGGACCTTACAAATGTGCATGACTAAATGATAGTGCATGCTTTGTGGATTTTGGTGTTCTGTATTAGAATACCATCCTAGTAAGATAGCACAAACTCGGTTCCAATTAAATGTTTCTGTTTATAACCGCATTTCGTACCTACAGATTAATTAGTTGAATAATAATCTGAACTAAAGAAATGTTTGGCCCGTCACAGTGTGAACACATATCCTGAAGTGTTCACTTCACTTTATGTTACGTTCTAGAATTTTTGTTAAGTTTAGCCGGCAAGAAATTTAAAATGGTCATACTGCTCGAATGCTGTAATTCACTTTATGATACCGATTAAATTGCAATCTAATATTGACAAGTGGTATAATTAAGTGTAAGGTAAATTTTGAAAACATAAAAGGGAATAGAAGACATTAGGGGAGGGGCTGTCGACTCAGCCCAGAGAGCATGTCGCTGGGTGGGCGTACAATGCTTGGGACCTCCAGTACACACATAACCAGTAAGAGAAGTTAAATTGCGCAATCATAGAATGACAAATCAGCAATTAACACTGCTGGCAAGTTTATTAGTAGTGTGAATCATTTAAGCGAACCAAAACTCAGTTCATTATCCTTTCGCGGAATAAGGAATCGAACCAATTTTCAAAGCCCATTAAAATGGTATGCGGATGAATTCTGCACTTTGTGCTTTATCTTCTGCACTGTTCTCAGCCTAACTGTTATTTAGTTGGAAATGTGTAGACCTACTATGTAGCCACCGTTTCAATTCACCCCATTGGAGAAATTAATGAGGTGGTGTACATCGTTCTCTAATTTGTTTCTTCATCCAATATAAGCAGGAACAAAAGTTCGTGTTAGGGCTAAGGTGTCTATAAAAACTATTTATTCATTGAAATTAGTAGTTTTTTCACCAACTGAACCTTTAAAATTCATTCTAACTCAAGCAAATTAAAGGAAAGAAAGCACGATAACTTGATGGGTGACTTAATTGAGGTTTTTGTTCACCTATTTTAAACAACAACATCCTGCTTTTTATCCATTAGGTCTTAATGCAGAACAACCTGAATAGACGAATGAGTTGGCCGACTCAAAGAAAGGTGACCAAGAGAATGGTATCAGTGTAGTGTGAAAATTCCAAGCAGATGAGGCGTAAAGAGGGATGAAGGGAACACAGACAAGGTAAAGAAATATTGGAAACACTGGAATGCACTCTAATGCAGGGCTAGGAGTTACATTAGTAGATTGGCAGGAAGTTTATTGAATGCCGGTAGCTGCAAGAAAGCGTATGGCTAAGCTACACTCCCTAGTAGCTACTTTGTGAAAGGTTTTTTCATTCAACGTGCAACAGTGTAGAGAAATGTGGCAAATCTGCTATTCTTACTCAACGATCGGAATCCGTTTAGACTCAAATTTCTAGTGATCAAGCTACAATGTAAGCTTTTGGTTTGCGGGAATCCTGCAATCAGTTAGAAAGAATCGCGAAGGAAATGATTTGATGTGGATCAAATAGACGACGGTACCCCTTGTAGATACATATACATCTGCTCCAACTTCTCAACAACAGACAGCCTCAGTGAGCTGTCATCCATGCAGAAGACTTGTTTCGCAGAAAGAGTATCTGGTGGGCAATTTTCTGCTTTTTGCACACAATGGTGGGCACATCCTACAGCTTCTAACAACTCAGAGGTACGTAAAATTGGTACTGGATTGTCACTATTTGGTACACTAACTTTTCCGCAATGAGTAAGGTGTATTATACGGCCATATTTTGTACAATAGTGATGAAAGCGACTCATAAAGTATTGAATTGATTGACAATCCCAGCATTTTTATTCATTTTGCAATAAGGCCTATTTCTCCCGATAGAATGGGGAGTCAGTTTCAAAACATTTTTCAATGGGAGAAGTGACCGCAGCATAAATATTGTAATTGAGTATGTTCTGTTTAACTCACCATCCCTATGTAGGAATATATTATTATGACTTTGTCAAGATTTCGCCGAGTTGCATTATTTTGCATTAGGTTTTAGTAGAATTTCAATTTATTGCTAGTAATCAGGACAAATATTGCTGTGAGAATGGGTAATCATCTTCAGTGAAATTCCGAACTGGCGTACAGAAAGCTTTGTCGAGGTAATGGAAGATGGTGTCAATTTCTCGGTACTTGGTTCATTTAGTGCGAGTTCCAACCCAGCCTGCCTTGTTGTAAGCAGAGAGGAAGCCATCTCCAAGGTTATCGGTGACGAGGAATGTGTCAGAGGGCTTTGCCGATGACTCCTTCGTCCATAGAATGAGGGGTGGCTAGGTCGTGGCACCAGGGTGATTTCCACAATCGAAAGCATTTTAATAGCTAATGTAACATATATTTAGCGCAATTACCTGTAAGCGCACAAAGTTTGTTGCAGCCGTATAAAATTATGCTTTAGTGAAGAATTGGTCTGGACCGTCATCAATTGCGAAAAGTACAGTTGATGGAACTTAGCCTAGATGACAATAGCTCTGAGATGGACTGTAGGTTTCACGAGTGGGTAAGCTACGCACATTCGACATTCGGTGGTAAGAGCTTATTTTCCATCTCATAGAGCTGACGATCATATCTAGGAACAAGTGGGTGTAGTGGTTGAAGTGGATGCAAGACATCTGTTGTCTTATTGCATTCCACAGATCTAAGCTACTCTTATTCGCTGGAGATGACAGTTGACAAGAACCGTCTCACATGGTGATGTAGAAGGCTAGTTGCTTCGGCGCACACAAGTATGACAAGCTACATCGTGATAGCTCAATGGAATTGGTGAATGTCAATTCACTTAATTTTATTCGTGTTAATTTAAATAAATGTCCGTTGTTTGCCGACTTTCATTGGTTCGGCCTTAGCAAAGTCATGCCTGTAGTTTTGCGGTGTTCCTGCCAAACATTAACTTAGACATAACTTCTCTCAAAGTATTTTAACTACTTGGCTGATTGAGAGCATAGACAAATTTGAGGATATTTATCAAATAAGCAGTTTCAAAATTTGCCGAACCTCACGTATCTTAATACATACCTACTAGCATCACGCGAATCGAAAGTTTGTGCAGCCGAGAGTAGGAATCAACGACAGTGCTTATCTCACCTTATAAAAATTTAGGCGAGGATTCCTTTCATATTGGATAACCTGTGCATTATGATCCGCGAGTGAGATGTGAGCATCTAAGGAATGCATGTGGCAGTTTTGTGGAAATTGCAAGAGGCTCACTATCTTACTGCAACTGCTTGCATCAGTGAACGGTAATTTTGTCCTCGTCTGGTTATTAAACATACAAAATAAGCTTTGGGGCGCATTTTGGAATGCTATGAAAAATCTCAACTTGCAAACCATTTTCTTTACACTTTGGGTTGAAAATGGCTCCCATTTACCAGCCATACCAATAAAAGTTGGATTTATGTGTATAATCCGAACAATGTGATTTGCACTGTTATGAGCAATTATCATCAGGGGAATTTGCAACGCCTGATTAGACAGATTTTTCACTGCTCTGTTAATTGTGTTGCATCGATATTGTTGCACAGAAACTGCGGTTGTTGTAATGGGCATTTTAGTTCAAATCTAGTCAAGTTGGATGACACCCGTCTTAGAATTTCCGTCCACCTCCAAAACTGCTAAATTTTCAGCACTTATTTTTCGCTCAGTATCTATTTTGGCATGATTGGACGTCATGACTTAACCTCCCCCAATCCTCAGCGAGTTGTGCTTTTCAGGTCTAAATTTTTATAATGGTTTTATTTAATCCTTACTGATCAAATGCCTGCAATGCCTGCAATTTACCAATTGTTCCGTTGGAGCACCGGATGACGGGATTCGCAATCATTTCTCAAACTTGGTTTGGGTTTTCGCGCAGTTCCGGCGTTAGGTCACGAACGAGGTTGGACAACTTGTTGGGATTCGGGACATAGTCGTGGTCAACGAAGACGAAGATCGATATGTAGGGCCAACAAAATCGAGCAGCCCACCTAGAAGTGTGGAAGAGTTTTAGATTCAAATTGTAGTAGGAGTCTTTGTAGTCACCAACTCGTGGGTCGGAGTATTCGCGCATTTCTATGGAAAGCTGTTTTTCGTTGTAAATGGAAAACGCAAATATGCTATGAGCTTACTTCCTGCTCTATTTTGTGGGGTTATACTGAATCCGTCTTGTTGAAACACGTTGCCAAGTGAAGTTCGTGGTAATCTGATGGAGAAGATGAGGAGGATGTTGATATCGGTGTAAAAAAGATTGTAGAGTTTGCATAATTGACTTCTTTCGCCGAAATTGTAGACTTCAGACTTATAGACACTCACCACATTAGGGTGGGTTTATCAAGCTGTGAGTCCTCTTTTGGTCTGTTCATGTGTTAGAGCAGAGCAGACATTGGAGGGAACTTGGAAAAATCGAATCCGTGGGTCGAATATGGGAGGCTAAAATAGGGATGTAAGGTCAAGGGTGAGGCCTTGTTTAATAATGTTTTCTGGAAGAAAAAAAGAGATGGGAATGTTTTGAAGGGAATAATAAAGATCAAACATTGCACATGTAGAAAAACTTGCATTCATATTTGAAGCAAATATGCCATGTAAGACGTAAGGCGTCGACATTGAAAGGCTCAACGAAAAGGTCATAGAATAGGACTCGTGTGACCTTGTTTCGCGCAAAATGCAAGAAAGGGGAATGATCTGAAAGGAAAGGCAAAAAAAATTGTATATATATATGTGCAGTATGATAAAGAGCCAGTCCACTTACGTCAAGCAGGTGCTATGAAGGGCGTGGACAAACAATATTCTGTAGTGTACGTGCTTACTTATGGAACTAGTTTGTCATTGATGACTACTTAAAGTGTCTCCCTTGACGGAATCGATTGTGAGTAGAGCTGGTAGACAGTGCTTCCAGTCCCGATTTTCTGCTACTCATGAGGAGTAAATGAATAATTAGGATGGCTACAAACACATTAGCGCATATCATCCTAATTCTTGCTCCTTTTTGGGTGCTGAAATAATCCAAGGTGGAAAAATACCCATCTTTATCTCCAAAACAATCTCATTTAGAGGCTAAGTTAATCATTTCAGTAAAAAACCCGGGAACCACTGTTTTGAGAGAGCGTGATGAGATACATTTTGAAAATAGGATAGTTCTTGGTCAAAAAGACATTGCATACAATCTAGCTTACTTCCAAACCGATTAAAAAGCAAGAAACAAGGCCATATAATTTGCTCTTGAATGGAGTGGAGTTTGAGAAAGCCTTACAGTCGATAGAGCCCAAAAGAAGGCGTTTACTTCAGTAAACAAGCCTATAAAGTTCTTGTCATCTAGTACACTGTGTATGGCAATAATAAAACATGAAGTGAGTACCCAAATGTTCCAGTTTCTCCGTTCACCGATCTTCGTCTTTCATTCCTTATAAGCAAAGGTGTGTGGATTGCAGCATCGAGGAAACAGTGTGGACTAAATAAAAATGCT